GTGTGTGTCCGTATGTCTGCCAGGATATATTTGTATGTCAGTATATATCTGTGAATGTTTTAATGTCTGTCTGTATCAGCCATTACGTCTGTCTGTGCATATGTCAGTATGCGTGTGTGTGTCAGTTTGTATGTCAGTATACGCGTGTGTGTCAGTTTTTATGTCAGTGTATGTGTCTGTGTGTTTTAGTATATCTGTCAGTGTATGTGTTTGTGTGTGTGTCAGTATATCTGTTAATGTATGTGTCTGTGTATGTATGTATGTATGTCTGTGTATGTATGTATGTATGTATGTCTGTGTGTCAGTATGTCTGCCAGTATATATTTGTGTGTAGTGACTGTGTGTGTCAGTATGTATCTGTGAATGTTTTAATGTCTGTCTGTGTGTGTGTATGTGCCAGTACGTCTGTCAGTGTGATTGCGAGTTGGACGTAATTGGGGGGTGAGGCAGGGACAGGGCCCATGGGGCCTAAGAAAATGCATTGCCCAGGGTCCTAATCATATTATAGACGGCCCTGAGTTTATATACCCCAACCGGTACAAGAAATTCGAAGGGCATTTGTCAAGATGTCCTCATAAATATGTATGTACTATAACTATAACATGTAGTTTCGTAATAAATATCTTTTTAGCAAGATTGGTATTCCTTTTTGCCCACTTTATTTACAGGACTACCACCTACGTCTGCTTCTGCACACCTCAACCGACTTTGCTTATTAAAGGTAGATGACTTTATCTCAATTCATTTCATTACTGTAATGGTCCCTGTGACGAAGTGCCCTTCGCCACTTGGTCCTGGAGAGGCCTACTTGCCAGCCTCCTCCCCTGTGACTATGACTCTTTCATGTATCTGGCATAAAAGCCCCTAGTCTACCTTCAGACAGACTATTTATGTAGGCTGCTTTATTTATCTTATGTTTTAGTCACCCTGTACCCATTATAGGTGCAGGGTGTGTGTAATGTAATTGTTTATAGTGTGTGTGTGTGTGTGTGTGTGTGTGTGTACTGTGTAATGTATTGCCTGCTCTCTTGTATTGCTGAGGTTTGCTACCAACTAGGTGGGTTTGGCTATGGAGCTTGTCTAGTGCCCTCTGTTGGTAGCACCAGCAATATGCACTACCTGAATTGCAAGACTGGTTCATTTGCATATTCAGGTAGATTTGCATATTGCTAATTCTGCAAGCAGGTGAGATATTTACTGTTACATATTGTCTCCCCCCACCCCTTTAAAAATGTGCCATTGTGTTGTGATAAGTCACTGTGTGTTGCTTGATATGGTTTGACTGTTTGTGATTTTATTGAGGTTTCACAACAATGTTATTGTGGTGACCCTATTGGCTGGTCCCAAGGGAAATAAAGGTTTTGACAGTTCTTCTTGATCCCTCTAAACGTAGCCTTGTCTCGTTATTGGAGGGAGCTGTTATAATCACACTGGGGGATTGCTATGCTCTGCATGCTCCCCTGAGCTTGAGTCACTTAGCTCTTTTAAGAGCTTGTTCCTGACACGCTCTCCTTGGAGGATGGGTCTTCACCACACAGTCCTGGATGCTGGAGGTTCGTACAGGGTGGAAGGAAGAGTTCTTTCCCACACAGTCCTGGAGGACAGAAGCTGATCCAGGGTGGAAGGAAGACAGCGAGACTCCAGTCAAGATACAGCGGTTGCGGAGTCTGCGGTGTCTGCTGCACTGCTTGGAGTCCTCAGGAAGTGCTAGGAGCATCCGTCAACGGAGGGTACTCAGTCGGAGTACAAGGAGCTCCGTTACAGTCCCGAACATAGAATATATCTATATATAAATAAAATCTAAGTATATATTTAATTTTAAACTGTGTTTTAACTTTATTTTAATTTATTCAGGCAGCAGGGGTGCTACCTGTCATTCCAGGCACTCCCCCTGCTGGCACTGCTATGGACGGCTATTCCGTCCATGTGATCGTGAGGTCCTCGCTAACACATGGCCTAAGATGGCGGGATCAGCAGCAGGAGGAGACTCTGGGATGGCAGGTAAGTCCCCCCCATCGCGATCGCCGGCGTGGGATCGCCAGCGAGCAGGTATGTGAATAGGACGGCGGGGACGTGCTATGCCGCCTGCCGGCGTTTAGAGTCAGGTCCCCAAGGACAGCATAGCACGCCCGTCGTCCGTAAGGGGTTTATAGAATTAATAACTTTTTATCTGAATATTACATTCACAGCAACCCTTTTTTACTGCGAGATTCTACTTTATTTTAATGGGAGTGTCTTAAAACTAAAACAATTACAACAAAACTAAAAACATTTACATTTAAAGCAGCTGACACAACTGAATGTGTTAACAGAATATACAGATTAAATAAAAACACGTTAAATGTGCTCCTTTCAGCATATATTTGTTTGCTAATGCTTTAACATATATAAATTAATATATTTTCTATTGAATAGTTTTTTTCCCCTTTTTGAAGCAAAATAGAAAATAACTCCTAAAAAACATGGCTGCCAGAGATGCCCCCTCCCCCCACTAGGTGCTCACTCCTAAACATTAAAATTAGGGAGGGACCCCACCTGCTGACATGGGGGGGTAAGATGTTGCCCCCATTTATTTTATTAAACAACCTCCACCCACTGATCTTATTACAAAGTGCCCCATCAGATGCAAACTTATTTCACAGACCCTATACCCATTGGGGTATACATGGCAGCGGATGTATACAGAGGTTTTAAACCTCCATTCTAGTAGCTACTAATCCCCATTGGCTCTTTAGTTATTTTATTTTGTTTAGCAAGAGGCTGGCCAGCTGCTACATACATAGTTACATACAATCCATTTAAATTCAGCCTTTTTCAAATCTGTTTTTGCCGCTAATTGAAAGCAAGGCAAAAAACACAGTTTGCCATTCTGGGGTCGAGAAGGAATTCTTTCCTAATTTGTTGCAAAATTGGAAAGTGTTTCAGTCAGATCTCAGCTTGTATCATTTGCAAACACTGACACAAAACCTTACATAATTAACCCTTGTACTGTCCGCTGGCAGTGCCACTTAAAATGATCGTTGTCTTGCTTGAGAAAGCAAGTGCATGATATCTTGCAAACGTGCATCCCGCTGGATGCATTTAGTCCTTATTCATTTTAAAGCCAGCTCTATATAAATCTTTCAAATTCTATATTTTGTATAGGATTAAAAAAACAAAACCACCAATTTTAATCCAGCCATCTAATGTCTGGGTGATTTCTGTAGATTTTCTTGGGCCAACCAAATTCTGACCGTATCTTGCTTCAGTAAATATGAGAATTGTCATTGCAGTGATAATTTGGTAACTTTTAGTCAGATTTTGTCCATCCGGATAAAATCTAGTGTTTAGTGATTAACCCCCTTTGTAGTTATAATGTGGTTCATAGAAGTTGTTGGGGTAAGGTTTTGGAGATCCCGTAACACTTAGCCACTCTGTAATCTGCCATTTACCCAAGACCCTTAGTCTTGTTTTCCTTTTTTTTTTTCATAGCCCATGTACTTATTTCATCTATAAGCAAATAATGGGTACGGTCCTGGATTTATCATCTTAATGAATCAGGTTTGGTGTGGCATGGCATAATTGTAATTATTCTTCATTCCATTATAACAGAGATAACTTTCCAGCAAGTTGTAAAGAGTTACAATTCACTTTTGCCATTTGCATCCTAGATCTTTATAAACACAATTCATCCTGTTTTCAAAAGCAGCCAAAGGTTGCTATAAAAAGCTGATGAATGATGCCACCTGCTGACCACATTCTATGCAACTGAAGATATTTCAGTGAACAAACACTGGTGGTTTCTTGCTATTTTTCAGATTTGGTGAAACACTGAAGCAGTATTTTAGATAATTGTTAAACTGATTTTATTGGTCACTTAAAGGATGGCCACCAGCTTTTGCTCTATAAAATTAAGTTAAAGATTACTAACCACATTTCCAAAGCCAGTGCTCCTCTCATGCAGCTTTTAGCTCCTCTTCCAGGGGTGGTTACATCATTCGTGATCTCTTCCAAACCATTGCTTCTCCTAGAAAAGCAATGGACTGGAACCATGCCCTCCAATCACATGCTATCAGCAGAATTTCATGCCAAGACCAAGTTTTTCTTGGTCTTGAGGTGGAGGCGACTCTAGTGGCTGTCTGGAAGTCGGCCACTAGAGGTGGAATTAACACTGCAATGACAACTGACAAAAAAACTGCACTTTTTTACACTGAATGGTTCAATTGGTTGGTAGCCATAATAATTGATGTAGTAAGGTAGCTAGGTATTTGTCCTCAAGGTATAATCTTGTGGGGGGGCTCAGAGAGCTTCAAGCTGGAGAATAGTAGCATTTATGTAACTTCAGGTCTGGTATTCCAAGACCACCACGAGAAGTGGGAAGACACAAAATGGATGTGGCTATCTGTAGAGGCAGTGTCCTCCAAATGTGAGCAAAGAGTAGTGATTGATAGCATTGATGGTAGAGAGATGGGGATTGTACTAGAGATATATAAGAATGTTGGTAAAACCGCCATTTTCATGGTGTTCTGCCAAACTAGGAAATGTCAAATTTTTGTAATTGGGCTCTAGTGTCATTCAAGAGTTTCATATAGTTTTCTTTTATTAGTTCTGTTTGGGACATTGTTAGTTTTATATCTAAAGATATGATGTAGTCCCGCCTCCAATCAAAGGCATATTTTCCTTGAAGCCTATCCAAATCACCAAGAGGCAGTGCCTGGGACGACTTTCAATCAACCAATCAGAGTGTTGTTATGAGTCAAATTACACAGCATGGGAAACTTCCAAAGAACTTTCCCACGCTGTGTAAAACGACACAGAACAATCGGAGTGGTTGGATTTCAAGCTAACCAATCAAAGTGCATTGACAGGTAAATTTAGAGACTTACCTGTCAGAGTACTCTGATTTGATGGCTTTATAAGCCTTCCCCCGACCTGCGGAGCTCAGTCTGCACGGTGCACTCCATGGGTGATGATGGATTACTTTTTCAGCATCTGGGGGTTTTTTTGTCAGATTTTTTTTCGCGTGGGGGACGTACAATAGGCCCCCCCCCCCTTCATTCTTCTTTAGGGACCCCTCCTGTCGTTTAGGGGTGCTCACTGTTTACTGGACATGCCCCCACTCGCAGTATAGCAAGTAGGGGCAGAATTTACTAATACTAAGTAATTTTTACTTACTATTAATAAATTTGGCTGAAACACCAATTTAGGTCTTTCAGCCTTTTGGTAGATAGCTCCCTAATACCGTGGGAATTAGGGAGTTATATACTTACTTATTCCCATCCATTGACTGGCTAAGTAACTTACAACAATCAAGTAACACGTTCATATAAATTGTAAGCGTTGCAAATGCTTACTGCTAAATCATGGCTATGTTTGTATACTTGTTACTTAAACTGGTGTAATATTCTTCATTCTTCCACTGGGTATATTAGTACTTCGGCAATTCTGTACTTCAGAACTTTGGCAAATTCGGAACTTCAGCAATTCAGCTATTCGGAAGTATCCAAATTGCCCGGCGGAACGAAATTAATGGCACATGTCTACTTGACACAGAATGAGTGCTCAAAAGAGAGAGACTTTTTTTTTTTAAATCAACATTCCCACTGCTACCTATTGTCTCAAATCCCCACGATCTCATTAAGGTTTAAGCATGCGTGGGGGTTGGCATCAGGCTATCCTAACTATAAGATAAGGCCAGGGACTAATGAAAGTATTTAGAAAATTGGGCAGACTAGATGGGTCGAATGGTTCTTATCTGCCGTCACATTCTATGTTAAGCTCACAGGCTATCTAGCTAAGCATTTTGTATAAAAGAGCGTCAAGGACTAGTTATCAGCTTACAAGCAGGGCTCTCTCTACCTCTTGTATTTGTCTGTGTATATTGTACGTTCTCCACTAATTGTACAGCGCTGCGGAATCTGTTGGCACTTTATAAATACCAGTAAAAAAATAAATTTGACCGCTATGGTCACAAATGCACCCTACTTCAAGATTGTGCGTGGCATAGTTGTGGTGGTTAAGGGTTAAAGTTCACGATTTGACTGCACTAGACCGGAAATAATGATAAAATCCCACTTAACACCACCCACACTTAACCATAATATAAGTATTACTATTTTAATGCTGCCACCACCAAGACAATTTATAAATGGGGTGGCTTGGTCCCCCAGGTAAGTCCACAGCGTGTTTCACCCACAATGGGCTTTTTCAAGTGGATTACCACTTGAAAAATCCCATTGTGGGTGAAACGCGTTGTGGATTTATTTTATCATTATTAATGTCTTAATAAAGGTTTTGGTACTTTTTATTACGCAAATTAGTACCATATACCTTTTCTTTTATCACCTGGCATCAAGTTTTTATCTTCCCTGTGAGAACCTCACAAAGTATCCCTGGTGGGGATTATACCACTACGCTGATTACACTGAGCGGGTTATCTGCTCAGGTAAATGTGTTTTATTCATATATATTTCTTCTCCTGGATATATATATATATATATTTATACAGAGAGCACTATCCGTTGTACCTTTGTTTGTATTTTTACATATCCTGCTGACAAGATACGCATTGGCCTATATCTTCTACCATATCCCTGAAGTGGGGGAATAATACCACTGCAAGCGCTTCACACTAGAGCTGGTTTTAAGCTCTATCCCATGTGAGTAGGCCAATTTGGATTTCCTTTTACCTAAGTTTTTAATATACTTTCAACATATTGCACTATTGGAATTCTTTTATGTTCCTGGACCTCAACTGTTTGGAAGACCCTCTCACCTGGAGTTAATGGCAAACTCTTATAGACTTCCCTATACCTTTATTATTATTGCCATTTATATAGCGCCAACAGATTCCGTAGTGCTTTACGCTATTATAAGAGGGGGTATTTAACTATAAATTGAACAATTAGAAGAAAACTTACAGGAACGATAGGTTGAAGAGGACCAGGTCAGGAGGTGGTCACTTGCAAGTAGGGATCATTGAGGAGATATAAGAGGGGCTAGAATTGTTCAATGCTTTAAATGTATGGGTTAGCACTTTGAATTGACTCCTATAGGATACAGGGAGCCAATGTAAGGACTGGCAAATGGGTGATGTGTGAGGACCGACTAGAGAGGAAAATCAGTCTAGCCGCAGCATTCATTACAAACTGTAGCGGGGCAATACAGCTTTTTGGGAGATCAATCAGGAGAGGGTTACAGTAATCCATGCAGGAAATTACTAGAGCATGGACAAGCTCTTTGGTCGCATCTTGTGTAAGAAAGGGGCGGATGCGGGCTATGTTTTTGAGTTGGAACCTACAGGATTTGGCAACAAACTGGATGTGTGGCCAGAGTCGAGTATGACGCCAAGACAGCGTGCTTTCAAGGATGGACTTATGTGGATATCACTGACTTGAAGGGAGAGCGAGAGAGGAGGAAAGACAAGGAGTTCAGTTTTAGAGAGATTGAGTTTCAGAAAGCGTAAGGACATCCAGTCAGAGATGGAAGAAAGGCAAGCAGTGACAAGTTGCAGGACGGCAGGGGAGAGGTCCGGGGAGGAGAGGTATATTTGAGTGTCATCAGCGTACAGGTGGTAGTTGAATCCAAGAGAGGCAGTATAAAAAGAAAATAGAAGGGGACCAAGGACAGAGCCTTGGGGAACTCCAACCGAGACAGGACGAGGGGGAGGAGGTATGCTTGGGAAAGGAGACACTGAATGAGCGTTGGGAGAGAGAGGAGGAAAACCAAGAGAGGACAGAGTCACAGAGACCGAGCGATTGAAGAGTTTGAAGGAGGGGAGCATGATCAACAGTGTCAAAGGCAGCAGAGGTCAAGAATTAATATGGAGTAGTGACCTTTGGATTTAGCTGCGATTAGGTCATTAGTGACTTTGATGAGAGCAGTCTCAGTAGAGTGGAGAGGGCGGAAGCCAGACTGAAGAGGGTCAAAGAGAGAGTTGGAATTGAGGTAGCGAGACATGGGTAAAGACAAGTCTTTCCAAAAGCTTTGATGAGAAAGGGAGCATGGATATTGGACGATAGTTAGAGGGGAAGGATGGGTCAAGAGATGTTTTTTTTTCAGGATAGGTACCACAGTGGCATGTTTAAGGTCAGCAGGAACAGTGCCAGAAGAGAGAGAGAGCAGTTAAAGATGTGTGTTAGGGTAGACCCAAGACAAGGGGAGAGAGATCTGATGGGACAGGATCGAGCGGGCAAGTGGTGGGGTGAGAGGAATGGAGAAGCGCAGCCACCTCTTGGTCAGTAGCCGGGGAGAAAGTCTGAAAAGTAGGGAAGGCATGATTTATGTGTGGTTGAGAAAGAGAATGGCAAGGAGGGGAGAATTGTATCCTTAGCTGTTCAATCTTGTTGGTAAAGTAGCATGCAAAGCTGTAAGGTTAGTTTGAGGGGTGGCCGCAGCAGGGCGCAGAAGTGAGTTAAAGGTGTCAAAGAGACATCTGGGATTGCGGGAGCATGAACTAATGAGAGGAAAAGTATGACTGTTTGGTGAATCTATAATGGAGAAAGTCTGCCTGGGTGCGGGACTTCCTCCAGGAGCGTTTAGCACAACGGGAGCAACTCTGCAGAAAGCGTGTTGATTTAGTTTGCCAAGGTTGGGGTCGTGTCCTCCTCGAGGTGTATGTTTGGAGTGGGGCTGCAGTGTTCAAGGCAGAGGTGAGGATAGTGTTATATGTGGAGATGGCCAGTGAGGGACAGGAGAGGGATGGGATGGATAGCAGTTGTGAATCAATGTCAGCTGCTGGAGGTCAATAGAGTTAAGGTTCCTCCTGAGCTGAGGGGGGTTAGGCTGAGATTGTTGGGTGAGGGGGTAATTGAGAGCAAATGATAAGAGGTGGTGATCAGAGAGAGGAAATGGAGTGTTGCAGATATTAGATACTGTATATGAATAAGAGAAAATAAGGTCAAGGGTATTGCCAGCTACATGGGTGGGAGAGTTAGCCCACTGCAATAGTCCGAGGGAGGAAGTGATTGAAAGTAGTTTGGAGGCTGCTGGGGTCAAAGGTGGGTTAATGGGAATATTGAAGTCTCCAAGAATTAGGGATGGGATGTTAGAAGAGAGGAAGTAGGGTAGCCAGGCAGCAAAGTGGTTGAGGAGAGGGGAACCAGGGGGACGACAGATTACGGCAATGTTAGCAGAGAAGGGTTTGAAAAGGCGAATTGAATGAACTTCAAATGATGGGAAAGAGAGGGAGGGGGGGTAGACAGGGTTTTAAAGGTGCAGTGGGGTGAGAGGAGAAAACCTACACCGCCACCTTTAGTCTCTGCTTGTCTTGGGTTGTGGGTAAAGTGAAGACCACCAAAAGACAGTGAGGCAGGTGTAGCAGTATCAGAGGGAAAGAGCCATGTTTCCGTTAGTGCAAGTAGGTTTAGGGAGTGTGAGATAAATAGGTCATGGATGGAAGTAGATTTAAAGGTGCTGCACACAGAGCGTGCATTCCAGAGGGCAGCTTTAAATGGGGAATTACATGGAATGGGTATTAGGTTGTTGTGGTTTCTGGTGTTTGTACCAGGTGGCTGAGTAGTGGAGGGACCAGGGTTTGGAGAGATATCACCAGCTGCCAGGAGTAGTAGGATGGAAAGGAAGAGAAGGTGGGAGTAAGATTTATAATTTGCCACAACTGGCTGTATTTGTGGAATATGCATTAAATAATGGATTGCATGAATCTGCATGTTGCATTTATAGAGTGTGTGTATATATTTAACCCTTAGTGACTAGACAGTTTTTCCATTTTCTTACCGTTAGGGACCAGGGCTCTTTTTACATTGCTGCGGTGTTTATGTTTAAGCTGTAATTTTCCTCTTACTCCTTTACTGTACCCACATATACCGTTTAACCCCCTAAGACCACAGGACGCTCTATGCCGCCCTTAAGGGGCTGGCTCTAAACGTCGCAGGGCGGCATAGAACTTTGTGGGCGTTCTTGCAGCCCACATGGCCGGCGGCATTACCCCGCTGCAGATCAGTCGGGGGGCATGCCTGGCCCCCCAGGCTACCCCCCTGTGACCAGGGACCGCGGTCTGCAGCCTCCGATCGCAGTGACAGTCACTGTGATTGCTAGTGTCGGCCGATTTTTATAATCGGCTGACTCATGGAGCCGCGGCTTTTTCCGCTGCAGATTGCGGTCTGGGGACATGCCTGGCCCCCCTGCGGTCAGTGACCGCGATCTGCTCAGCTTGATCGCAGTGAGACAGCCTCTCACCGCGATCAGCTCGCAGTGAGACAGCCTCTCACCGCGATCAGCTCGCAGTGAGACAGCCTCTCACCGCGATCAGCTCGCAGTGAGACAGCCTCTCACCGCGATCAGCTCGCAGTGAGACAGCCTCTCACCGCGATCAGCTCGCAGTGAGACAGCCTCTCACCGCGATCAGCTCGCAGTGAGACAGCCTCTCACCGCGATCAGCTCGCAGTGAGACAGCCTCTCACCGCGATCAGCTCGCAGTGAGACAGCCTCTCACCGCGATCAGCTCTACTATGTGTCAGCCTATTGGCTTTGGAGCACAAACAAGAAGAGAAGAAGAATTTGTGGGCAGGAGAGAGAAGAGGATCAGGAACACAGTTCCTGGAGATAAAGGGGGGAGGGAGAAGGAGACAGGTTTTGGCAGGCACCATCAATAAGGAGGGCAGCTGAAAAGCCTAAAGAAAGAGAGAGTTTGAGATCTGTAAATATAAAAGGATCAAAAGAAAAGTGCTAAAAATGAAATGCAAGTAAGAGGGGAGAAGGAGGAGAGTTTGAGAGGTGTAAAATAATACAAGGAGGAAAAGTGAAAGGGGGGTGGAAATTAAGAGAGGTGCCTTAATTCAACAAGTGCAGCATGTCTTCATTGAGGATGATTGGGGAGAGACAGGGACGGACGACTGCTAGGGTCTCCGACAGTCTCTTACAAACCCCACCCCGACCGTGATCGCTGCAGATTGCTGGTCCAGGGCTCCTATTTGCCGCGGTAGTACTAGGTACGTCTGCGGTCCTGACCAACAATTTTTTCACACAAGTACGTTGTACATCCACGTCGTTAAGGGGGATATACATATTTAATTCTAACTGTATTTAGAGATAGATATCAAAATACAGTTGGAATAAAATTACATAGTTTAAAATTAGTTTTACAATATACACACGTGTAATTTTACTCTTAGTGTATTTTTATATGTATATATTAATAAAATACTTCGTATGATGTTATATCTATACACTTTTTTTTTTTAAATTACCATTTATTATTTTACTTTTTCACCAGCATGGGCACAGCTGTCAGTTCAGGCTGTCACCCTGCTGGCAACACCGTGAACACCTATTGCGGCCATGTGACCACTGTCACATAGCCTCTGGGGAGTCCTCAGTTAGAGGGAGGGGGATTGTCAAACCTAAGTTTTAGGTTTGATATTTAATGTGTGGGAAAGGACCTCAGGGTAGAGTTCACAGGGAATAAGGGAAAGGTTTAGAATGGGGGGGGTGAATGCTAGTGCAGAAACTGTGGTAGCTTTACATTCAAACTACCATCCTTATACAATATATACAAATGGAAACACCAAGTATAAAGTATCTTTACATCAGCTTTACTGCCCTGGCATCTGAAATTTACACATATATAAACAAATTAGTCAAATGTTTCTTTCACAAATTTTTTTTTTTTTTTAAAACAATGTAGAAATATTAATGAAAAAAAAAATTTAAATCTTCATATCAGTTTCATTTCATATTAACCAATAATCACACAGTGCAGACATCAAGAGCTGAACGACATCAAGAGCAATGTGCAAATATAGAAAGTAACTGAAATGATGGATTTACCTAGCTCAAGCAGCTTCACTGGAAATTTTATATTAAAGGTTAATCCTGCGACCTGGTTAGAAAACCTCAACAAAAGAATAGTATGAATCTTCAGGTGTACGTCCCACCGGATCAATAGCCAGAGTACTAATAAATGAACATGGAAATGGCTAAGACAACATTGTTCCACCGATATAAAGGCCAACCACAAGGACTGTTTTCACAAAGTCTTTGTAAGCATACAAAAGGATTTTCTGTTTGTCTGTTGAGCCAAATGCATTTTGTCATAGTCCTAAAGTCATTCCATCGTCTGCTCATTTCTTCTGTTTAGGCGGTGGTCTGCAGAACAAACATCATTTATTTATCTCTCTAGTCATATAAAGCAGAACACACGAGAATTTTAGAGAAGATGTGCTAACCTGTAAATACCAACCACCACTGCGTGGTCTCTCTCATATGGCTCCAAGGTCAGTTGTTCTTGTGGTTTCATATTTTCTTGTTGCATTTTCTTTACTTCAGAAGCAAAAACAGCCTCTGGAGCCGCGGTGGAGTCAATACAATTTGCCTAATGAAAAGAGAAAAATAAAGTACACACCCCAGTTTAGCAATTGAAGAAACGGTCATAAGATCAGGACTGACGGCAGAGAATGCAGTTTATGCATGGCAAGTTATTCAACGGATCTGGAATTCAACCTGGGCTAACATGTCGATTTTAGATTTAGAAAAAGGTGCATTTTTATTAACACATTTAGATTAGGAATTACTACAGTTCAGTCTGTACACGCATCACCTCAATCATGCCACAACTAGTGTAAACTCTGTACAATATACGGCGAAAAATTATAACGTGTAATTGCTATAACAAATAGATTTACGTTGTTCAGTTTCTTTTTATATCTAAATACCAACCTTAATAGATATGACAAAATGGCCACCATTCTTCAGGAAATTGTGAGCATTGAGCGCCACTATCCGAGTCTGATCCGGCTGAGCTACGTCTGCAAAAACGACATCTACCATACCTACAGGGAAACACATTTAAGCTTAACTTCCAACAAAACAATATATTTCACCAACAAGTCTATTGTCAGAACATTTACCTATTAACATGCGGTATTTGTGAGGATGCCTGGCGTCTTCAATGACAGGAATGATGTTTGTACGTTTCTTTGCCACGTTAATGAGATCACGGCCGGATCTGTGAGAGAACTCTACGGCATAAACCAATCCTTCCTGAAAGATTAGAAACATTTATCACATTCCAAACAAAGTGGAGCCCATACCTACCAACAGGAAAGCCCCCAAAATGTGCCCACAACTCCCATAAGAGGATGCAAGGACTTGACAGAATGCAGTCACATACTTTCCTTCGTTTTGGGAGGCAGGCTAAACCCCCCCTTTTCAGTTCCTCTCTGTATCAATAAGATTCAAAGGGGAAATCAACCCTTCACTTGAAAGAAGACAGACTAAAATAGGTTTAAAATGATATTTTATGCAATATTTTACCATGCACTGCTTAATCTGTAGGATTCATTCCACCCAATTTTGTTCCAGGTTCAGCAGGACAAACCATGAGGGCAAACTGCCTCTGGGATTTTATTCTAACATTCTCTGCACTGGATAGAAGACTTGCTCACCATAACATTATTAGACACTTACTGGACCAACCAAGTCAGAAACATGAGACACTGTGGTGCCGGAAGCAGCTCCGAGATATAAGACTTTAGAGCCAGGTTTTATGTGGATTTGATCAATTCCGCCCAAAATGGCAGCAGCAAGCTTCGATCGGAAAGGGTTCCATGCTCTGTACTCTATTTTAGTTTCTCCTTCCTGGAAAGGAACGAGAAGACAAATGAAAGGAGACCTGATTATTCTTTATTTCTGCAGGATATATTTTCAAACTGTCCATATCTAGTAGAGGGTTAATGTTAAACTTTCTGCCACTCCGTCTTAGTGTTCTCATTGGTCTAAGAAACACAGAAAAAGTTTTTTTTTGTTTTTTTTTTAAATCTGAAGACTGCCAAAAATCATTCTATATAAGAACATAATGACTTCATCCAACAACAGAAAGTTACACCAATAGATAAAATACAAAACTCAGACAGAATAAAAGACAAAAACCTTAAAACACTCACCTCAACAGATATTCGCTTCTCTCCATATACAGACTCACCGGGAACTAGGTTTCTAGTCACCAGAGCATCTTCCTTCCCTCGGGAGATAAAGACACCTAAATAACAAGACAACCAGTTATTACATCCTCTGTTCTGTGACTGTAAGAGAAATTTCACTAATGCAGTCTTTAAATCTTACCTTCATGTCGGTGAGGCTCAACAATGACTTTCTTTCCTGCGCCAAAGCCTCCTCTTCCTCCACCACGGGGACCCCCTCTTCCTTTAAGTGGGAAAAAGATGCAGTTAAATGGAGCAGCCAGATGGGTTTTAGTGATTGAAGAAATATTCTCTATTCCTCAGCATGTGACTTTATGCTGATAGCTGCGACACAGTATGTAACTAATAAAGTTTCCTCAATGCCACCTTCACTAAACCAAGTGATTTCCAGAAACACACGAAAAGTATACTGAATGGAAGCCCTTTGCATGCATAGCCATTAAGCATATCATTGTGACCATAAATATCCATGATTATTCCCGCTGTACAAAAACCAAGAAATCTCATTTTAAGGTTTAGATTAAAAAATAAAAAAATAAAATAAAAAAAACAGTGACCAAATGCAGACTAAAAACCACACACTCTGGTTATAAAGGTCCACCTATTTTGGGAGGGTAACTTTCCTTTTACAGCGTGATGTTCCATTAGAGCCATTTATCCTCTTCTCCCGCAACGACCACGTTTGTCCAATCCAATGCTCCTCACACGCAATTAAGCTTCCTCAGAGGAAAACGTTGAGCCAACGACGTGACTGAGTTTTAATCTGCCCGTGCAGCAGATGCGCCTTTAGTGGCTGTCAGTATGACAGCCACAAGAGACGAACTTAGTCCAGCAACGTAACATTGCAAAAACAAAACGTTAATGGTTTACATGGCAGGGGTAAAACTAAAGGACCACTTTAATGAGGTGAATTCAGATCATGCCCCTGCAGTTTCACTTCTCAATTCTCTTCCAATTAAGTTTGGTCTGGGTGCATGGTCCCTTTACTTTGCAAAGGTAATTATTGCAGTTTTTAATAAATTACAATAATTATCTTTAAAGGGTCAACTCTACCTCTAGTGGCCACTAGAGGAACTTCCCCATGCTTTCCTATGGGGGAAATATAAATGCATAAAAAAAGCACATGGAGACACAAAAAAAAAAAAAAGAAAAAGCGCTAGATGCAAACCATATAAACACTCCCTGACATGTTGAAAGTATCCAAATAGTCATAACCTACAGAATGCACACTATAATCACTGCAAGTAAAAAAAATGCAGTACCACATAGGAATAATACAAAAACAATTATACAAAATGACAGAAACAAGGGCAAATATAGTAAATAGTACAATACCAGCAGAACTCCACATAACCCTAGGGCAGAAACACAAGCCACAACAATCCCAATTTTGAATTATTCCTATGTGGTACTGCATTTTTTTTTTTTTTTACTTGCAGTGATTATAGTGTGCATTCTGTAGTTCATGACTATTTGGAAATACAAATGCGAACATGGCCATTGCTGAGCATGCACATTAGGTAGAGCCTGAACCAGTGCCAATGGACATCTGCACTGAAATCAGTTGTGTTTCCAGGCACCGCAGTTTCTTTATGAGTTAATAAATCTCCCCCATGAAACAATTGTTTCATTATCAAACCAGACTTTACAGCATAGGGGGTTTACTTTAAGTTCTTCTCTCTTGGTTACTTTAACGTTAATCACACACAGGAGGCTGCTGCATGCTATCGCAGGCAATTAAAAGGACATGTTCTCCGTCTCATTTTACAAAAAGTGCAGATTTCAATAGAAATTTGTATTTTTATAAATGAACCTTGTAAAAAAAAAAAACCTGGCTGTCAATCACAAAACTGGTCTTGTTACTTCATGCTTTAGTTAGCTCAGGTCCCACGTCCTACTAAAGGAGTAAATAATGGTGTGTGCTTTAATATTTAATCAAATCTAGTTTTCACCAAGGGAAAGTGATAGTAAGAGAGATCAGGTGCTGTGAGTGTGTGCATAATGCCAGGCAATTAGCATTCCACCTGCAGTTTCATTATCACATTGATATAACATACCTCTGAACCCTCCCCTGCCACCTCGACCGCCACGATCACTGGGGCCACCAAATCCCCCTCTGCCACGAAATCCAAATCCCCCTCTGCCACCACGATCGCCAAATCCCCCTCTGCCACCACGATCGCCAAATCCCCCTCTGCCACCACGATCGCCAAATCCCCCTCTGCCACCACGATCGCCAAATCCCCCTCTGCCACCTCTAGGGCTGAAACCTGGAGTTAAAAAAATAAATAGAAATTAGTTCAAACAAATAAACACCTACCATTATTTATAAATAATAATTATAACAACATGCAGTATTATTAGTATTAGGGCCCCGGTAAAGCAGTAGTATTAGTATTATGGTATTAGGGCCCCTGGCAGAGCAGTGTTCGTATCAGTATTATGGTATTAGGGGCCCCGGTAAAGCAGTATTACTAGGGGTCCCCGGT